TGTATATATATATATCACGATAATATTGTTATCGTTAATTCCTTTGGCCGAGATCATGGCGTAGTGGAACTCTGATAAGGTGACAGCCCTACCTGGGTCCCAGCTCATCCTCACACCTCCAGGTGAATTCCCCGAAGCTCTCGTAGCGCTGGTTGTAGTGGTAGAGCACGCGGTGGAGCGCGGGGGCCCCCAGGTCCATCAGAGTGTTGTAGGCCGTCTGCTGCTCCTTCCCACTGGTGTAACCATTGTACAGGTTGTAGATCTTGTCGGCTATTTCTGGAGGAGCAAACAAGGTCATGGGGTCAACACTATACAACTTCACATAGTATCAAGGCGGCCACTAATGGCGGTTGGTTTGTGCTACGAAAGGGCTGCAGCTAAAATAAATGTTTGATTCATCTGACAATCATATGGTCCATAAAATGTTCGTAAAAAAAGCAGAAAAACGCTGATCCAAATTTCATGAAGCCCAAGGTGACGTCTTCAAAAGTCTTCTTGTGTATGACGCACAGTCCACAACCCAGCGATACTCAGGCTAGCATCACATAAACACAGGGTGCTGGATTTAAAAGTATTGGATTTATCGATTGCTGTTGGGATATAAAAACTATTTAGATACAACAAAAATATTTAAAAACCAAATGACCTAGCCGAGCTTCAACTGATTATCGGAACACTTGCTGAGCATTTTTCTGTCGATTCATCTCTTTATACTGCAGCCCCACTTTGCATTTTAGATTAATAAGACAGATGTGCTTCTACATGCATATCCAGATATTTATAACAATACAATTGAAATGAATCATTCTTAACAGATCCATCTAAAACCAAAGTGTTTTTTCTTCACATGGGATATGATGTTTTTATTTCATGAGGTAAAGAACTCATCCACCTGTCCTGGTTAACAAACAATAGAAATATGTTCAAAAACAGAGCCACAGAGGGGACATATTGTATTTCACACCATTCATGTGTTTCCATTCAGTAGAATCAGCAGCATAAACCAGTAGTATCACACTTCACTGGTTAGAGCACTTTTTTCTGCAACGGCAGGATCCGCAATCACATCTTTGCTATAAATCTCGCTCTGGTTCATACAAGATTTTGACTTTCAAACTTCTTAAATTTTTTCGACTGTATGGAATAACAATTACATTTTACTTAGTCAATATCCTCATGGACTTGTGTTTTACAGTGTCCATAACAGTCCTATTCCAGAGGGGGAAGCTCTCCCTGTGACTTTATGACTCGCTCTATCAACTCATCTTCAACATCTGTTTTGTGAGGTCTTGAAAGATAACTGCAGACAGAAAGAACCAACGTCTGTCCTTTGAGTTAGCTACTCTTATATTTTGTTTCTAGAAAGTTGAGAAATATCATCTCCCCAACTTCATCTCTGACTGACTATAGTCCATAACTCCAATAGTCAAATTCACACGAAAGCGGCAAAATGCATGCAACAGTGGAGTTAAACCTCCACTGTTGGAACAGTAAAAGTCATCCCTGAGCCACCTGCGATCACCTGGAAGATGATTCACCTCTCTTGACTTTAGCACACGTCTCTCTCCTCACCTTGTGCTTTGACGTCATCCACGGTTGGACACGGCGTTTTGATGGTGACCTCACTTGGACTGGAACGGCGCCCGGTGTTGTCTACCGCCCACAGCCGGAACCTAGACGCGTGTGAACACGCATGAAAACGGATGTTTGTGATACATGTTAAATCTAATCTAAGTGATAAATCTACGGTCGTACAGATCCCCCCCCAGCAATTGGACTTCGATGACTCTGCTGTACCGGCATCATATCATCATTTCATGCAGTTGTTAATTATTTTTCAAACTGAAAGCTTGCATTACCAATGCAGGACTTGCACTAGTGCCAGACTGGCAACAAGCACTTCCTTCACAGGGCTGATAACTTGTCACTTCACTGAATGAATATCTCCACCTAGTGAGAAAACCGCAAACTGCATCCACCTGCAGCACCAAAGATTTGCAAACGGTGGCTAAAGATGCATCACGTTTTCATCATCGGCATGGAGATATACGGAGATATCTTTCTCAGATTGCAGTTAGAGATTGGCACACTCCACTGAATAGAGATACTTGACATCTCCAGAGCAACACACTTTAAACCTCTCCAAATGGTCTTAACTGTTGCGGAGTATGTTTTCTGCGTTCTGCTTACATTACAGCATGTGCACTTCTCCCCAACACAATACATTCCCCCCTCTTACAAAGCACCAATCCAAAGCCTTGTAAGGGCTCTGCTCAGTCCCAACAGAAAATATAGTGAGTGAGCAGAGCCCCAAAGGGGGAGACGACGCCTCTGCTCGGAGAGATGAATGAGCAGCCAGACAGGATGGAGAGAGCGGGAGCCCCGCTGCTGCCGGGATTAAAAGGGCATGCGTCGCTCCTCGCTCAGCCCACATACATCCAAACGGATTTTTCCCCTTCTTGATCTTTTTCTCTCACTCGCTCCCCTCTTCTTTCCTTCCTCTGCCCCGATCTTTGCCTCCGCTCCTCCATTCTTTCTTTCCCTCTCCACCTTAATCTGCCTCGTTTCCTCTGTACAAAGTGTGCGTGGCTTCCCTCCTGGCGGCCCGTCTGTGAGATAAGTGTCAGCATGTGTATGAGAGATCTGGTGTGGTTACATACACAGAACACATTTGGATGTAACATGGAGTAAAATCCAGTTTTTATTTGTTATTGTCCTATAATTTTATGGAATATCTTTGAGGGGACTACAAATTCATTTCAGACTCTCCTGATTTTAAATTGTACTTGCTAATACTAGACCAGAAACTCACCTTAGCTGTGACCCTTACATTAGTGCCTAGCTCTGAGATAACCCCGAATTACCTCGGTCGGTAGGCGTCACATCACACACATGTAGTGGTTAGTACGTGAGGACTTCTCTTGGAAAAGGCTACATGATGAAAATATGTTGAACTTCTGACTTGGCCTGTATTTAACACACTGGCCTTGCTTGGCTTCAAGCAAACATACACACAAGCATATCCAATTACAGAGAATAAGTCAGGTTCTTTCAGGTTCTGCATTGGAGGATTAAACTAGACTTAATAGATTGGGTTGACACAAATGAGCCAAGATGGTACACTAAGCCCATAGACTGTACATAACAAGTGGACATAGCCATCATGATGTCACCCGTTGGGTTGTGGACTACCGTTTTTAAAATTTGGCATTGTCGCCATCTTGTTTATATTTGGACGAGAGGGTGGAGCTGGGGAGGTATATGTATAGCTACGCCTCTATCCTGATTGACAGGTCGCAGTGGTAGCACCCCGTCAATCACAAGGACTTTGAATTTCCCCAACCCAATCACAGTAGCCCCGCCCTAAAGCATACTCTGCTTTATGGTCTATTTGTGGTCGACTCTAAATGGACCATAATGTACTAAATGAACATCATGCTGTATTGAAGAAGACTTGAAACTAGAGATTGAGACCACAGTGGGGCAACTGTGGCGGTTCAATCCCCGGCTCCGGCTCTGCTAGTCGCATGTCGATGTGTCCTTGAGCAAGACACTTAAACCCAAAATTGCTCCCATAGCTGTGCCTACGGTGTAGAAATGTGATAGAATCTGAATTGTAAGTCGCTTTGGATAAAAGCATCTGCTAAATGACTGTAATGTAATAAACTCATGTTTACAATGTTTGCTGAGGTAATAAATCAAGAAGTCTCATCGACTACTATACATACAGTACTGGAGGCGGGGCCTCTTTCTTTCCAGAGAGTTGCTCAGTGGCTCATGAAGCCCAAAAAGTTTGACAGCCAGGTATAAATTTACCTGGATCTTGTGCATCCATGGGACTATGGAGCAAGTGCACTAGCGTTTCCTTTAGCCCCGCCTCCCAGCAGCGAGGTCTGGGCTCGCTTACATAGACAAAATTAAAAAAAAAAAAAAAAAAAAAAAAAAAAAATATATATATATATATCCACTTAGTTACAGACTAAGTTAAAGATCTCTTTTCAAATGTAAGTCTATGAGAAAAATATTTGTCCTGCCCCGGAGACTACATCTTCTCTGTTAATACAGTCTATGCACATCAAAGGCACTATGTGTTTGGTTTAAAGTGTACATGATCTGAACGTGGTTGAGATGCTTAAAGGAGTAGCTGAGGCACTCATTTATCTCACCCACAGGGACATTAGAAGATCAATGTCCATTTTGTCTCCGTTTATCAAGACGGCTTGCTAAGTGAGGTTGCTAACGTTAGCCTAGCTTGGCGTATAGCTTGTTTCATGATAGCTAGCCAAAAACAAAAAAACAAACAGCAAACAAACACTGACGTCACAGAGAGAAAGATGTTTTCCAGAGATGATTTCTTGTTGGTTCTCAATGGTCTTTTCTGGAGCTGTCTCACCACATTAGAACAATTACTCTAATCTTTTCCAGCTGTGAGTTCAGAAGCTCCACCATTTTCTTTGTGCAATGCATTGTGAGACGATACTTTTCAGCAGCGTCACACTCAAAAAGTGTTTTTAGTCTGCATAGTGAAAATGTGAGTATACTTAATTCAGGCACAAACACAATACGTACTCATAACTTGCTTGGAATGAGTCCATTGTATAGAATTGGAACACTTTAGTCAAATTTGTGCAAATAAAGTGAGGCAAAGATTTGCTTTTTCTTCAACCTAAACACATCTGACATGTGCGGAAGCTTCTTTGAATACAAGAGGGACTTACATGTATGTGGTGTCAGGCTCCAGGCAGCGGATGATCATGCTGATGGACGAGGACAGGAGGTTGGGGATGTCCCCTAACATCACGCATGGAGACCTGGCCCCAGACAGGATGTCATCCACAAAGCTCAAAAGGGTCTCTGCGGCAGAGAGAGAAAGACACATCCTTGTTGAGAAGTCATGACTCACCCGAAGATTTCACCCCAAAGCGATTCATGTACAGTCTGAGATGAGACCGCTTGAAATGTAACGAATAGTAGTTTAGGGTTGTAAAAAAAGGTTTTTGTCCTGAAAAACTATTTCTAATCTGCTATTTTCTTGATTTTCTTTTTTCAATTTCCCATAAAGAGTTACTTCACTTTGCTTACTGTTATACAAATCAAGTTATTTAAACTTAACAACTTATCAAACACCTACTTACAAAACCAGAATTTTGAGCAAACGTCAACATGGATTTAGTGGATTTAGTGAAACATTTTTGAGGTAGTTTGAGGTAAGATCAGGGCAGCGCTGCTGAACAAAGTACAGGCTGACTGTGTAAACAGACATTTTACCAAAATGTAAAACAGATACTTTCCTCGACCACAAAAAAACCTTTGAGTACAGTATGTACTTGTGGGGCCTGTCCATCAAAGTACAAAGATTAGCTGCTGTTCATGTTGAAGGGCACCTTACAATCTACCTTCCACACCAGACTTTAGCTTCAAAAAGGTTTCTGTCACATCTAGATCTACCTCCCCCACCTTTTTACATTTGTCAATTACAAGGTTATAAAAACAATACACACCATCACACATTAAATAGGTATCAAAACCTTTAGAAAACCCCACAATTTTCAGTTTACATGTAACATATACATGTTACATATAACATGATTAAAAAAAGGTAATTTGCGAAAACATTTTTTTCAAACATTCAGCATGATCTAAAAGGCAAAAAGCATGTAAAAGAAGTGAAATTTAATAGAATAATACAATATTTAGTGCATAAACACAGGTACATGGGGCACACCATGACAGCCAGTCATGTTACGATCTCATTTAATCGATGGCATTAACTGTGCTAGCAAGATTTGTGTTCCTCGAGATCTTTTGCCTCAAAGGCAGTACCTCCTTCCCGGCAATAGATACACTGGAGAGACACAACCCAGTGGCCAGAAAAAAAAGTTGGCATTGTCTGTAAAATGACGACGTTTAAGAGCCAAAAACACGTTTCATAAATACCTCTCATATCACACTTGCAGAAACGCACAATGCGGGTTAAGCGATTGGTTGGGTTCATGAGCCAAAACTACTTGGCTACTTTGGAACAAAGATCCTTGGTTTAAAATAACATAACTGTAACGGGTGTAGTTAGGACCCAGGAGCAGTACGACAACACCAGGACTGGTATGATTTGAGTTCTTTATTTGTAACACACGACAGGCAAAAGATTCTCTGGAAGAATCCGACAGGTTTCTCGTGGTCAAGGACAGAAGGGCTGAGTAAGTTACCAGGACAGAGGCAAGGCGAGGTAGTCCGGGACAGGCAGGGTCGGCAACAGGGAATCAGTCCATGGGTGAGTGCGGGAAAGTTGAGCATGAATGCAAAGAACGATCTGGCAGTGAGTGTGTCTGAGGCAGGGGTTTAAATAGTGAAGAGGCAGAGTGAGCAGGTGAGAGTGATGAGCTGAAGAGGCGAGTGTGACTGGCAGGTGCACTGAATGAACTAATTAGGTGAGTGAAAGGTGGATAGAAGTGACAGAGCTGTGACAATAACAACGTAATAAGCGTAACAACGTAACATGTAAATGAACCACAACCTCCCCTAGCAGACTTTCTTTCATGATGTTATGTAACAAATGTAAAAATCAACATTTACTTTGGTTTCACAGAGGACAGGAACAGAGGTGTCCTTGGTGAAAGTCCTGCATTGGTTTTGACCCACCCATCCACCCCCGACCTCCTTATTACTACGTCACCTGACTTCCTCCTTCACTCCCGTCATATTTGCTGATTGAGACAAAAGGTTTAAAGTCAAACCGAAAGCTTGAAACCATAAACATATGTCCTATTTTGGCGTAACGTTTTTTGTTCTCCATTCAGTTGTCCTTGTTGGTGCATGGCAACATGTCTGCATGTTATAGCCTCTTGTGCATTCGTGGAAAAGTGCGACACCATTGGTGGGGCCGCGTATCTTTTGCCCCTTGCCCTTTGCTTATTTCTCGCATGTTATATTCATCATACTTTCAATAACGGTCGCGCAATGTACCACATAATGCGCTCTGACCGATGCAAAAAACGTTGACATTCAACATAGCTGTGGTTTGCAGTACAACATTACATCATCCAACATTTTTTCCTGGCGACCGGGCTGAGTGTCGCGCCATCTTAAGAATCAACTCAGGGAACAGCGAGATCCCTTTCCATAGCTGGTATCCAGCTAACCGTGCACATGCCCGACTATGCATGTGAAAACGAACATACCAGGCACATTATTGAACTTCGTCAGCAACAACACACCAATGACAGCCGCAAAGGCATCCACAGTCTGTTTACACGGCACTGCGGGGTTTCACAAGTGTTGATTGACGCCATCCAGACAGAGGTGTCAAGCTTTCTTAACCAGGAGGGTCTGAACACACCACTGGTGGAGAATAAACAGCACATTCACTCAAGCGCCCTACTAGGCTGTTTTTATACCTTATACGGGAAATACCGGACTTTTTTAGTCCACTGCTTTTATTCAACAGTTAAAGTTTACTTTGCAGATACAAATTTTAACATTCAAAACATGTGATCATCTTAATAAATGATGCATTATTTGAGCTACAACATCCAACTCACGTGCATCAGAAATTATAATCCAACAATTTTAACATGACTTTGTCACAATGTAACTGTGACCTGCTAATACTTCTGCGCTGTTAAATGTTGACAGCAGGACATTTAGTTTTAACGTGTGGTATTAGACTTCAGTAAAAGGGATGGAGGGTACACACCACTACGCGCTGAATGAGGGATAACACTTGTATACGCCTGAGACTCTCACAGAGAGAGACAGAGAGAGAGAGAGAGAGGCAACCCTTCACCTCCTCCTCCTTCATCACCTCCTCTTCAGGGCTTCTTTTACCCGCTGCCCTAGGCTCGTGGTGACACATACAGCTAGCTGTGTTTTCCCAGCTGGCACTGTGGACGTCAAAAAAGGGCACTTCGCCACCGATATGTGTGTTTCACTGTGAGGGGAAATAAACCTCTGCTTGGAAAATCCAAGTCTATTTGTGTGTATGTGTGTGTGTGTGTGTGTGTGTGCTCTGAGGTGGTCATCTGCGACCCCTCTGCTACACAAGCAGATCCTGTCCGTTTACACAACATGTGTGTGAATTGACGGACTCCCCGAGGTGGTCACCTGTGCCTTCCCTTGACAACAGCTTCCCCTGTGCCTTTTTTTCTTTTTTTTTTTAAATATGTCTTCGTGTGAGTGATGAAAGCTCAGAGGTGGTCACCTGCGTCTACCCCGTCGTAACCCCGGCCTCCGTGTCACCAGCTGGTAAACAGCAGGCGGAGGGCCACGGAGTCACGGGGGGAGCGAGCTCCGGGGTGAAAGAAAGGTGTGCAGCAGCTGTCAGAGAGAGAGACAGGTGTTTACCCGGCGAGGAGACTGACACGTGAGTGAAAGACATAAACAGCGCTTAGGGATGTAAATGAAAAGTGACATTGTGAGGCTTCATGATAACTTAGCATATTAATTGCGAATCCGGTTACGGAATGCGTGTTAGGAGGCGTATAAAAAGGCGACAGTGTCTGAAAATGTGTGGAGTAATTCTCTCAATTTCCGAGCAAACTGAGCTCTGAATGGGGAAACTCGAAACTGAGACTCGCATCAATCTTCGTGTACAGTTACAGTAGGAGGCGACTGTGGTAGAGCAGGGATGTCCTTCAATTAGGGAATCGGCGGTTCAATCCCTGGAACTAGTCCATGTCGATGTGTCCTTGGTCCGTAGCTGTGCCTATGTTGTATGAATGTTAGTTAGTCCTGACGGGCCATCAGTGTATGAATAGGTGTGAATGGGGGAATGATGACATGTAATGTGAAAGCTTTTTGAGTGGTCAGAAGACTAGAAAAGAGATTTACAAGTACAGACCATTTACCATTTAGGGGCCAGTCTCAGAAACATAAGCCATTCAGTTTGGATTTGTGAATTTAGCAACTACTGTATTTTGCACTAGTCGTGTTTACAATAACTGCCTGATGCTGCAGGCCTTTATGGGGCAGGGCCAGATCCTGTTAGCATGGGGTCCAGTTGCTACTTAGGAACCACAGTGGCTGTTTGGCTGCAAAGTCAAAACAACTTACTATAATATTTCTATATAAATACATTTATGATCAAACTGACGCATGTTCAATTACACAGACCTGTGATGGTTATGGAAAGTTAAAGTTACATCTCCTCTCTTGTAAAATTACCCTTTGCTAATCCCCTGCTGCTACTCCATCAAGCTAACAGAGATAAGTTACCATGGAGCCCACACTGTCGGTAACGGTATCCCTGCATAAATATCATCAACATTTTGGGAAAGAGAGAAGCAGACAGAAGGATCTACAATATGCGTTTGAAAGGATATATGCAGGATGTCAAACTGATTCCGGTTGAAAAGATAAAGATAGAAGCTAAAGTCTACAGATCACAGTGTAAAAGTGAACCACCACATCACCTGGTGATGGAAACAGAGGATAACGTTCCTGTAAAGACTGGTAGGTCTCTATTCACTGTTACGATCATTAAAAACTTTTATTGCAGCGCCTGAGGTCATCGTATATAACCTATAAGCCAGTTTAAATGTCTAGGGCTTTTCTTTTGAAAGGTAAGAAAGGAAGGGAGAGATCCTGAATGCACCGCTTTTGCCAAAGTTGAAAGCAGGAATAAAGTTTGCCGTCTTGGTTCAAGCCATGGAGCTTCCGTGTTGTTGTACAATAAGTGTACGTGTTTAATGTGTCCAAAAATCGACCTCGCTCTGAAAAAAAATTGACGTCGCTTTTTGAGAATGCCATATTCGTGTTCTGTCTGAGTTTGAAAAAAAAATATTGATGTGCAAATTAACAGCACAAAGAAAATAAATAAATAGCCCCCGTGGGTTAAGGAATGATCTTGATTATAAAAA